CACCCAGTTGATGCCTCCACACCCAGTTGATGCCTCCACACCCAGTTGATGCCTCCACACCCAGTTGATGCCTCCACACCCAGTTGATGCCTCCACACCCAGTTGCTGGCTCCACACCCAGTTGCTGGCTCCACACCCAGTTACTGGCACCACACCCAGTTGCTGGCTCCACACCCAGTTGATGCCTCCACACCCAGTTGATGGCACCACACCCAGTTGATGCCTCCACACCCAGTTGCTGCCTCCACACCCAGTTGATGCCTCCACACCCAGTTGCTGCCTCCACACCCAGTTGATGCCTCCACACCCAGTTGATGCCTCCACACCCAGTTGATGCCTCCACACCCAGTTGATGCCTCCACACCCAGTTGATGCCTCCACACCCAGTTGATGCCAGTTGATGCCTCCACACCCAGTTGCTGGCTCCACACCCAGTTGATGCCTCCACACCCAGTTGATGCCTCCACACCCAGTTGCTGGCTCCACACCCAGTTGATGCCTCCACACCCAGTTGCTGGCTCCACACCCAGTTGCTGGCTCCACACCCAGTTGATGCCTCCACACCCAGTTGCTGGCTCCACACCCAGTTGCTGGCTCCACACCCAGTTGCTGGCTCCACACCCAGTTGCTGGCTCCACACCCAGTTGCTGGCTCCACACCCAGTTGCTGGCAGTTGCTTGGCCATGACCCAGTGTGTTTGCCCCCCTCTATAGAACAATGCACAGTTTAACTCTCCCAACCGAGTTGAAATGGAAGGGGTCCCAGCGGTCGGGCAGGACTCCACAAGCCTTGAGGTACCAACAACTACTCCTAAAAGAAGTTTTTGCCGAGTATGCAACAAAAACACCGCCGTAAACTCCAACGGTGGTGTCATCCGCTTTCACACCTTCAACGAGGTAAGATGCAATGGTTCCCACCAGCTTCCAAAGGGAAGCAATGGCCAGCTGCCGTTGACAGTTAGGGAAGAGACTCCCATTAACCTAATCTCATCTGAAACCCTCACCCAAGCGATCATAGCGACGTCTGCTAGAACATTACCACACATCCCAAAAGCAGCCCGCCCAAATGCAGCAGCCAAACTTTGTGATCTTCTGAAAAGGGTCAATGATGCCCCGGAAAACATTCAAGCGTGGCATAATGTCCTTCTGTTTGGCAATGTATGCCTCACTGTCCCTCCAAGGAGGGATAAATCACTTGCTTCCTCGGTCCTGAGGGCGATAAATGAATACCCAAGGGGGGATAACCTAGTTCGCCTGCCTCTCCGAGCAAAACACACCCACCGCAGAAATGGTAACAACAACATACCGGAAACGTACAAAATCAGAGCACAAATCACCAAGAAAATTGAAGAGGGAAATACCGCAAGTGCTATTAGAGTCCTCACCAGTGACGAGAAAATTGCTCCTCGAAACTCAGCCACAGCACGGGCCCTGCAAAGCAAGCACCCACCCAGAGCCCCTCAAGGTGACAACATCGTTCCGCCATCAGCCGACACCATTTCAGACCCATTAACCGTTGGTGAATCTGAGGTCTACAAAGCAGCCCTTTCTTTTCCACCTGGGTCAGCAGGCGGCTTTACAGGGTTAAAACCTCAACACATCAAGGAAATGTTAAATCCTGCGGTTGGTGATGCTGCACAAGATCTTCTTATGGAACTCACAAGGTTCGTCAACATGTGCCTGGCTGGTGATATACCTGAGGTCATCAGGCCTCTCTTTTTTGGTGCCTCCCTCTGTGCTCTCAAAAAGAAGGACGAAGGAATCAGGCCAATCGCTGTTGGCAACACTCTCCGACGCCTGATTGCCAAGGCTGCTACGAGGGTTGTCAGCCAGCAAGCGGCTGAATTGCTGAAACCAATCCAGCTAGGATTTGGAATCCCCCAAGGCTGTGAAGCGGCTGCCCATGCAGCACGAGCATACATCACCAACATTTCTGATGAAAAGGCCCTGCTCAAACTGGACTTTAAGAATGCCTTCAACATGGTCAGAAGAGATGCAGTACTTTGTGCCGTACATCGCCATTTCCGGCCCCTCTACCCGTTCATACTATCGTGCTACAGTGGTGAGTCAAAACTGCTCTTTGGTGAACATGAAATCAGATCATGTGAAGGTGTTCAGCAAGGTGATCCTCTTGCTCCCCTTCTTTTCTGCTTAGTCTTAAAAGAAATCACCGAAAGCTTGTCCAGCGAGTTCAACATCTGGTTTTTGGATGATGGCACTATAGCTGGCACCGTAGACCATCTCTTGGCAGATATCAGGAAAATAAGGGAGCAAGAAGTAAGCCTGGGTCTCGTCCTGAACCCTTCCAAGTGTGAAGTAGTCTCTTCCAACCCAGACATCGTAGCTAGAATAAGGTCTGCCTTGCCTGGAGCCCATGTCATTAGGGCCGAGAACAGCACCCTCCTTGGAGCCCCCCTCGGGTCTAACGCCATTGAGGAGATCCTTGACAAGAAAATCGCAGATCTTAGGAGGATGGAAGACAGAATAGGTGACATCGACGCCCACGATGCTTTTTATCTCCTCACCAAATGCCTATCCCTTCCGAGGCTAACCTACTTTCTGAGGTGCGCCCCATCTTACGACAGCCGAAAGCTTGAAGAGTATGACCTCTTACTGAAGACCATGCTGGAAAAAGTTGTTAACCTCTCCCTCAACGAATGCCAGTGGAAACAAGCCACTCTTCCTGTTAGGCTCGGTGGCTTGGGTGTCCGCACCGCCACCCAAATTGCTGTCCCAGCCTTCCTGTCTTCCTCCTCAGCATCAGATGACCTGGTTAAGGAAATTCTACCTGACACCCTGAGTGATGTAGCAGGGATACAGGACCCCCACTACACGGAATGCGACACGAAATGGGGTGCCATGGCAGACCCAGCACTCAGACCAGCCATGCCGAAAGCCAAGAAACAATCCAGTTGGGACAGCCCCATTGTAGACAAAGAAGCCACAGCTTTGCTGGAGGCAGCAACAACCCCCAGTGATCGTGCACGCCTCACAGCTGTGCAGGCTCCCCATGCAGGGGACTTCCTTTTGGCAGTCCCTATGTCTGCGACAGGCACACGTCTTGATCCGCAGGAGCTCCGTATTGCAGTCGCTCTCCGTCTTACTGCCCCTATCCACACTGTTCATAGGTGTATTTGCAGTGAGGCAGATGCTGACGAATATGGATTGCATGGCCTGCACTGTGGAAAATCTGGTGGTTGGCACACTTGACACGACGAAGTCAATGACATCATTAAAAGAAGCCTTGCCTCTGCTCAGTGTCCAGTGGAGAGAGAGTCCCGCAACGTACTGAACCGTGACTCTGTTAGCTTTGCCGGCCGACCAGACGGAATCACACTGCGACCGTGGAAGGGTGGCAGACAGTTGGCTTGGGACTATACTTGTGTATCCACCCTGGCAACCACATACATCAACCTCTCTGCCGGCACAGCAGGAGCCGCGGCGACACGCAGAGAAAGAGACAAGTCAGCCAAGTACAGACAATTAGATCATCGGTACAACTTCGTTCCAATAGGGTCTGAGACCCTAGGCCCATGGGGAGAGAGTGCAAGAAGGTTTCTTAAGGATCTTGGTTCCAAGCTCATTGACACCACAAGAGACCCTAGAGCAGCAAGTTTTCTCTTTCAGCGCCTCAGTGTCGCGATCCAGAGGGGCGATCCAGAGGGGGAATGCTCGCTGCATCCTCGGTTCATGCCCGACGTAGGAGGAGTTCGAGGAAATCTACAGCCTCTAGGAAGCAAACTTTTTTTTGTGTCCTCTTAATGTTAATTTTTTTTTATAAAATCAGATATGTAACTGTATAACCTTGCATAATAAAGTGTACACCATAAAAAAGTGGGGTGGTAGGAGAATCGAACACTCTTACGTATTCAGAGTTAAATGGCAAGTTTTTCCCTGAATGCTCTGTGTTCCCTTCTCTGAGGCTGTGGGTCCCTATAATTGCACCAGTGGTTGTACCCCCCTATATATATTGTGACGATAATCTCTTTCAAGAGAGATTGAGCCTGCTCTTCCCTACATAATTACGTCAAAATACAAGATATACAAGATATATCTTGTACAATATATAAGATACGTTCACCAAGTATCGCCAAACGTTTTGCCCAGAGAGCAAATCGTACCCCAACACCTGGCCACTGCTGTAACCAGCTAACTGCTCATCCTCTGCCTGCCTGTTGCTGATTGGCTGGTGTCCCGTCGCACCTGCCCTCCGCCACCACCACAAGTCGACGTCTGGGCTGCAGTGCGCCAGTTTCGTCAGAATATCTCAGTGCTCCGTGCAGTTGACATCACTCGCTGGTAGACTAAGCCTTGGCTTTCGTGTACTAAGGGAGGTGGCAGCTCGAAGTCAGTATTCCAGCACTCATATTTTATTTTGCTATCACTGTAACTTACTTGTCTTAGCGTAACTTTTCATTTGCCAGTGATTATTCATGTTATTTTGTTTGTTGACTTGTCCTGCATATTTTTATGGGATTACCTTTATTCATGTCTTGTTTTCTAGAGTAATTAAAATTTCATTGTTTATATACTTGTGTTTTGTGTGTCTTCCCATTACCTTACCACAGACGAAAGGACCAACTTTTCTCTTTTTTTTTTTTTTGTCATGTGACGAGGCCCTGCCCCTAGCTTTTGAAACAGCCGAACACCAACGCTTTACCGTCACAATTGTTTTACCAATTAGCAAGAATTTTTGTATTTTATTGTTTTTTTAACATTTCTGCTATTCTGAGAGTTGCCAGTAGGTTCAAAGTGGACTCTGTGACACAATGAACTGATGTTCTCATTTGATTAGCGCTTACCCCGATTCAGCCGTGGTGTGCAGGAAAATATTGGGTAGGATTAGCTCTATGCGTCTGGCCTCCAATTACGCATAGACTAACAGGCATTTTCGTTTATTAATATGGAAGAACAAGTTTGCTTGGTTATAAATAGATGCTGCATTACATAGGGTAATTGGTCTGTTGCAGTTTCCTTTCATAATCTCCTATCATTGACCAGGTACCAGTTGCTGGTGGATGGGTACCAGGAAAGCAGTACCTTAGGAGATTTCCTTGTGAAACATATTAACTTCAGTGGAACAAAATTCTCCACCTACGACAGAGACAATGATAATTGGCCAGGTAAGTTTGGTTTCATTCAATGTTTCTTGAGATATTCCTACTGACAAACGTTAAAATATAGTGTGTTTAATGAAGGAAATATATATTTTGTATGTATTTTTAAAGATTATTATCAACATGCTAAAAATTCTTTAAAACATGAATAGACAAAATTTATGTGCAAATCTGTGAATTTTACATCTTATAAAATATTTGGATTTTGGCTTACTTTTCTAATGAAATGCACATAGAAATATGCCTTTTAATACAATGAAAAATCTGTGTAATTAACAAATGTAACGAATATGTCCTTGATTATACATATATTGTAACTAGACAGAGTACCTGGCAGTGACTGGGACACGCTCTCTGTCATAACCCTCACCGATAAAGATAAAGTACAGAAAAAGAAGAATATCAGAGACAGGTAGATTGCACTTAAAAGGAATGTTGGGTTTAATGAGATTAAAGGCATTTTTGCTCAGCCATTTATCATAAAAGGAGTGAGGTCGTATGTCGGCACTAGTCAATAAGGTGTTAACAGCATTAAATAATTTGTCTCTGAGCAATACAGGAGATGTAGGATCTCACATGACTTTAAGGCAAAAGGTTGTGTTTACTTGCATGATTCTCTCTGGTATGGTTGGAAGCTTCAGTTCTTCCTTCTTGTTGATGATTCTTGTGCATCTTGGGGCATCAAGAATTATCCTCATGGCTTCATTCTGTACTACTTCAAGTTTGTCCAACACAGAGGAGGGGAAATTAATTAAGTTCAAAGCATTATAATCAACGAGAGATCTAGCAAACATCATATAGAATAGTCTAGCATATTTAATATTGATACCAATATTCTTACCAGTGAATGTTTTCAGTGGTTTTAGTCTTTCTTTAAACCTACGATGTAGATCGTTTACAATGTCACAGTTAATACCAATTCCAAGGTATTTGTGCTGCCTACACGTTTCAATGTTCTGGTTGTTGACCTTGAATGTTATAGGGACATGAGTGTTCTCTTGGGGATGGAGAACTCTTGATTAATTATAGAGATAACGAGACCACATTCAATGCTTTTTGCAGCGAGTGAATCAAGTAGAGCTTGCAGTCTAGTTTGGGTATTTGCAACAATGAATATGTCATCGGCAAAACAGATGACGGCTTCGTCAGGTAGTGTGGGAATATCAATTATTAGTTTGTTCATCAGAACATTGAACAGTGTAGGACTTAGCACTCCACCCTGGGGTGTACCCAATTCAAAGGGTGCACAAAGTTTACTTCTGACCCCCTTGAAATGAACTGAGGCGGTTCTGTTACTCAGGTAACCGCTTAGCCATGACAACAGTCTTCCCTTAACTCCAAAAGAGGCTAGTTGTTCTAAGATTATTTCTCTGTTTGCTGTATCAAAAGCAGTTTGGAAATCAATAAATGCCGCATGAGAGCTTGGTCCCTCTCTGATAAAATATTCAACAAAGCAAGTTTGTGTGCTTTTTCCAGGAAGGAAACCATACAGGTTAGGAGCAAGGTGGGGCTTGATTTGAAGCATTAGTCTGTCGAGTATAATCCTCTCAAGATCTTTACACATGCACGACGTCAGAGAAATGGGTCTGAATTTCTATGAATTAGGCTTGGGGGTATGGGTATTATGAGTCCCTGTGTCCAGCGATCAGGTAAGACACCCTGCCTTAGACTTTGATTAAACAATTCTAGCAAAGGGCTATTTGGCTGTTCAGCAAGTACTCTCATGGTATGTGATGCCATCCTCTCCAGGAGAGGAAGCCTTACCTTTCTGAGTGCATTTTTAATTTTAAAGCTGGTTATGCCATAGTTATCATCAGACCTTATTTCACTACAAGCAATTTCAATATTGAAGTTACGATTATTTTGGTACTAGCCAGACGGTGTTGTATATCTAGGGGCAGGATGCTTATACTGGACCAAGCACGGTCCATATTATTGTTAGCTTGCATATTATTGAAGCAGCATGTCGGCATTGTCTACAGGTGAATGGTGATCAAGTTGACGACTGCTAGGATGATAAATCTTTTTAATTTTATTCCACATTTGGGATGAGGATGTTGCATGATTGATGCCCCTGCAAAAATTGTTCCCAGTGCTGGTTATACACCTGTTCCTTTAGCTGTGTAAACTCTCGGCTGACCTTAAGAAATATGTTGAGGGTGTCAGTTGTTTTATGTGTTTTATACTGCTCAACTAAGAATAGAACTCTGTCATGAAGGTTTTAAGGCGTGATTTAGTGAACCACCTCTGTCCCTTCCTCACTGTTTTGGGTCTTGTGGATTTTACAATATTGTCATAAAAAACGGTTACTTCAGTGACCAGGTCCTCATTGACAGTAATAAAACAGTAAGTGTTATACCACTCAGAAATGCGGAATTTGAAGTGCATGTGTAAATTTTCAGGGATATTATTTTTTTTCTAAGCGTAGAAATTTGACATTATTGATAGTGTATGAACTGAATATGGCAAAGTGATCACTAACTAATTCGTGAACAATTGATTCTCCGACAGCATTATCGATGAGACCGTGACCAATAACATAATCAAGCCTGCCACCCATGACGTGTGTGAAGTTAGAGAAGTCAAAGTTGAATACGGACATGTTATTGTCGCTTAAATATTTCACAATGACCCTGCCATTTCTGTCTGTTTTGGTGTCACCCAGGCTAGTCTATCTTGAATTAAAATCACTCATGACAATGGATTGAGAGTTGCTGGTGATTTTTAGAAGAGAAGCTTCGACCATTTGACCGCACCTTACATTTACATTGACTAAGTTAATAATGCCGGTCGCTGTAGCAATCTGAAACTGCTCTTAATATGAGTCGCCACTTTTGTGGTTTTTAACATGTTTACGCACTAGGTTACTTTTAACATACTGAAACACGGGGGGGGGGGGGGTGTTCTCGCATTATCTCTCCTACCTTTTCCCCCTCTACCCGTATTCTTACTTTTTATTCTCTACCAAGGGACTCCAAAACTTTTACTAAAGCCGACTCCACGCCACGTGGTCCTAAGACGATTGACCGACTTAGGATTCTACAACCCGTATGACGTGACATAGGCTTCGAGCAAAACCCTAGAGTCGCCTCCGCCGCCACCACCAGACCAGTAACACAGAGCAATGATCGAGGCCTGGATCGATCATGCTAATTAATCATCCTTGGGGCTTGATCCCCCTATAACCGATGATCTTGGAACTTGAGTGTGGAATTAATTAAACGGGAATGATGAATTCCGATTCGATGTTAGAATCGGCGCCCAATTCAACTCTGCCTTGTGTGGACCACGTGACGAGGACCAATTCATATAAATATAACAAACACATGGAAATAATAAAAATACAAATTTACTAGCTATTAATTTATTAAAAGAAAAACTAAAACAAAGTCTAAATGGTTATCACTCCCTACTGGAACACTCCCTAATTGACCTGAACGGCAATGAATTGACTATTCCTATAAGAACTCATAAAGCAACTCTACCTTGGGCGACCAGCTAGATGTTCGTGCTGTCGGGAGGCCGATGATGGTAAGGCCACCTGCCCGAGTTGTTTCTCAAACCACACTAACTGTCCTCTCTCTGGTCTTCCCCAGACTAGAGCATTGTATTGTTCCGCATCGCTTACCAAGTTACTTAGCAAGGTTTAAGTTATAACAATTAACCTCTGTTGTACTTAATTGATCCAGACTGGTTGAATTATTTTACTGAAGTTAAATTACACAAGCATCTAACGGAAGAGCTGTTCCCGATCACCAAATGGCTATTTGACCCTTGAGAAATAGTGGACATGTCAACTCTGATGACCTTATGACCGCCAGGTCACTCCGCCTTACAACTTAGACCTGATTCGTGACGTTACTGATGGTGACTTAACTCAATAATTAGAATACTCTTGATATTATAACTAATAATACTCTATAATACAATTTGAATGCAACCTGAATAAAGACTATTTTCTCTAAATTACTGATTACTATAGACTGATTCATTATACGCAACTATGGATAAGGCGTCAATTATTTTCACCGCGAATTCCCTGGGGTCAGGTCGCGGGTCCAGCTTCCCATTCTCCCTTGTCGATAAACCATTCTGGATAATTCTTACAAACAGCCTAGTTTGTTACAACCCCCCCGCACAAGCACTTAGTAAACCTTGTTAATTTGTTAAAAATAACGAGGTTTAGTATCCAAATCCACAACTCAACTCATGCCACAAACTAAAGCTAACCTAACTAATAAAATTTGACAATTAATAGAGTCCAACATCATAATAAACATGTTCAAATTTCATAAATTTCTCAGCTGTCAACTGACAGCAATCCTCCAACATCAGGAAACATACATCCTACACTTACTGACATAGCTAAATAACATGTCCCTACTCTAACATCAAAGACTAGCTATTAAAATCTCTTGGCTCTTCACTAGCCAAGTTCATGTGTCCTCTAGAGCCGGCCACACCGTGCTCAAACATAAACAAAGTTATATCTTCAGACTGAACTTTCAGTCATCCGGGAGCGTACTAATGAACTATCAAGTTCACATCTGTGTACCGACCACTCCCCACTCAATGTCAACCTTGACATGCTAAGGAACACACCTAACGTTTATTACATGTATCTTAAAATATAAAAAAAATTCCTGTACTATATCACAGGTTTCAGCTGACTGTACAGCCAAGTGTTCTCACTCACTAGAAGTGTCAATGTTTATATTGGTCCGCCTCTCCTGTGTTCAAACATTCTGCAAAAGTATCACACAACATAATTTTCCATAACCGTTTGTTCTGGGCTTAAACAATGTCACAGGGGCTTCGATTTTGATTACTGACCAATTTATAGAGTAAAATTTTCATATATTATACCAGAATTATTTTAAATCTGTTTTTCAACATTTATAAAGTATTGATTCTAAATCTGTTTTTCAACATTTAAACAAAAGTGTCCAGATATTCTTTACACAGATGTTCAGAGCCAACTTTGTTGTTTGTATCAATTGTTCATA